GAGTGCAACGATAGAGCTTGAAAGATCAAAGACAATTTTTAATATAACTCCGACTGGATTCGTCTGAAAGAAGAAAGTCATATACACCTAGGATGCTTCAGGGGTGAGTGAAACACAGCATAATTTTCATTTTGCGGTGAACTAACCCTTTAAGAAAACTGTCCCGCTCAGGTCTCTAGGCCGCGCATCAACACACACGTTGTTTTTTTTCGCGCTCCCCATCTCCACCCCCAATCATTAGTGCCGCTTGTTCGGTCTTTGACAGAACATATAGGACACTTTTTTAAAAACCCTGTCATAGACTTCTTTATAGAAATCAGCAAAGCAACGATTAATTTCCTTGGGGTCAACAATTATCTTCCCATTATTCAATTTTATTTTATGTATTGCACGAGTTGCTTGAGAGTGCTTTAATTGGTGCGCAAGTAATTTTTGGGGTTTATCACCTATTTCAAACTGTCTTTGCCTGATATACATAAATTGTCTCAACACTTTCTTAGAAAGAATTGAGTTATATTCACTTCTCAGTGCAACCATTTTCTTTAAAGTAGTCTCACAACTAGTTGATCTGTATTCACTCTCCAGATTTGTTATTTGTATGTCAATTTCATTTAATTTGGCTTTGTTCTCTCTATTCTTAAAAACTATTTCCGCACCCAATTTTTTAAGATGCGCATAAACCTTTCCTCTTTTGACTGGACTGTTAGGTCCACGTACGTTCCAGCTTAATAAATTCAGTGTGCCGCCACCGAACCTTCACTCCGTTACTCAGTATGTAAAAAAAAAATATGTTCTGCCTGACCCTTTTAAATAAAAGCTGCACATTAAACCTTCCAACTCAAACTCAAAAAAGGTAACCTTCCCATGAACTTGAACATTACGAACCTTGTAAATCGGAACAGACACCCGCCCCCCCAAAACTGCATCCCATGTGAACATTATGGATGCTCACCCCAGAAAAAAAAACATTTGCATCTTTTAACTCACCCTCAATGCCACTTGACATTCTTCCGTTAGTACAGCCCCCCACTCATCTTACAAAATACAACAAAAATGATACCTTGCAGTCTTTCCAATATATCAAAGAGAATTATATACACACAAGTCTTTTCTGACTTCGTTGTCCAATGTAGCGTTTTCAACATTTCACCAGTTCTCCACCGCGCTTCTTAGATATGCTTCAGCAACCTCGGGTGAGTCGAAGGTCTTCGTTTCTTTATCCCTCACGGTCACGATGAACTTGGAAGGAAAACGAAATCCGCATCTCACTTCATGCTCCCAGCATTTCTTTCATATGTTGTCGAACTTCTGTCTCTGTTTCAAGACGTCAATGGCAAGATCTGGAAAAATACGTATCGCTTTGCCATCGTATTGCAGAGGTTTCGATCTTGCCAGTCGCAAAATTTGTTCTTTCACTTGGTAGTGATGGATTCGGGCAATAATTGCCCGAGAGCGGCCATCTCTTAGTGGTTGTGGCGAACGGTGTGCCCTGTCGATCTGAATTGAACGGTCAAAGTTCTCCTCACCCAGCATATTGGCCAGAAGCTTTGTGACAAACTCAGTAGGTTTACCATTTTCAGCGCCTTCTTTTATACCGACAATTCGAATGTTTTGTCGTCGAGATCTTGACTCTAAGTCACAGGTTTTTTCCTTAAGTTTTTCACATTCGGCCTCCAGGTGTGCACACTGTTTCTCAAGTGACTCGATGCGGGTTTCGTGAACTTTTGCAGTCTCTTCCGTCACGGTCACTCTGGAAGAAATGTTAGCGATGGATATGTTCAACTCTGTTAAGGTAGATGAAAGGACATCAAACTTTATGTCAAAGGATCCGTTCAATTTCGCTATTGCTTCCATTATGTCTGTGTTTGTTGGCACCGTTGCTTCAGCGCTAGTTTGATTAGCATTAGCCGGCGGCTCTTCATGAACATTGTGCTGATTATGCGTGCCTTAATGCGTGCCTCCCGCATCTTCTGTATTCGATTTTTCAGTTGTCTTATGCTTTGACGGCATTGTTCAGAATGTCAAGTTAACAACTTTTTGAGAGCAAATATTATAGACTCGTGGAGAGCTATAAAAAAAAACACGTTTACTCCATTCAGTGCCGGAAGCGCGCCGTTCCAGGAGATAAATTGTTGAATAAAGTCATTATTTTTTTTCTTTTGTACACAAAAAGTATTCTCGTAGCTTCGTAATATTACGGTTGAACCCCTGATGTCACATGGATTATTTTACCGATCTCCTTGCTATGTTTCTGGATCTCGATCGCGTTAGTATCCTTGCTGTCTATGGGAGGGTCAGAGAGCTTTCAGAATGCATCAAAAATATCTTAATTTGTGTTCTGAAGATGAATGGCGGCCTTACGGGTTTGGAACGACATGAGGGTGAGTAATTAATGACAATTTTCATTTTTGGGTGAACTAACCCTTTAATATTTGTAACAGCAATTTCAAGGGGAGTCACACATTCAAAAGACTTCAACACAACATCTAAAGACTCATCATCCTCTGGAGTAAATGTTCATTAATGCGAGTCGATGCCAGAACGAAGCAGGAAAAAAAGTGAAGTAATGAAATTCAGCGGATGCCATCACAGTCCCTCCATATGCAAGACTCAGATCAAGACGATCACAGCCTTTCCTAGCTCTTTAAGAATCGGTACCTGCTGCACACACACACACACTCTCTCTCCCTCACACACACACTTCTCTCTAGGGAACGCCGTAGCACTCCTGATGCACTGCCAGGTTACACATGTCACAAAACAGGATGACGTTGCTGTTCTGACACTCACCGTCGTTACAGATGCAGCACACGGCATCTTCATCGATCAGAGAGCTGGGGTCACCCTGCAGGAGCGGACGAGCATCGTCAATCACACGCGTGTGTGAGTGAGTGAGTGAGTGAGTGAGTGAGTGAGTGAGTGAGTGAGTGAGTGAGTGAGTGAGAGAGAGAGAAGAGAGAGAGAGAGAGAGAGAGTGAGGGTCAAATAAAGATGGAAGAGATGTGTTTTTAGTCGTTTCTTGAAGATGGCTAAGGACTCAGCTGCTGGGATTGAGTTGTGCAGGTCATTCCACCAGGAGGGAATAGTTAATGTAAAAGTCTGTGAAAGTGATTTTGTGCCTCTTTGGGATGAACAATAAAGCAACGTTCACTTGCAGAACGCAAGCTTCTAGAGGCACATAAATCTGAAGTAATGAATTTAGGTAAAGGGGTGCAGAGCCAGTGGTGGTTTTGTAGACAAACATTAATGCCTTGAATTTTATGCGAGCAGCTATTGGTAGCCAGTGCAGATTGAAGAACGGATGTGTGACATGCATTATTTTCAGCTTGTTCAAAATTAATCTTGCAGCTGCATTAATCAAATTTTAATTTCAATTACGATTTTGACTTCCAACGATTATGAACACAAGATAATTGAGAAAAAACTATTGTTGTGCCACATTCCATTTCACTCTCGTTTTGTCTTGTGTTATAAATCCAGCGTGGCTTTCACTGCTCCCTATAAGCACAAGCTCACTCACAGCCAGGTAAGTTTTTTTTTTAAGTTCAATAAACGCATGATTAGGGTTAGGGTGGGCGATATACCGGTACAAATGTGACAACATGTATACATTCTGGAACACATGAAACAATCTGTCACAGTGTAAGTGATGAATTGAGCTCTTTGTCACTCGCGTCTTATTGCACTTGCATGGTCAGATAAACACAGAATTGTGTTAAAATGCCCATCTTGGCAAGTATTCATGTAAATGCAGTGGATTATGTCTTAAAGGGGTCATGACATGGATTTTTTTTTTTAATTATCTTAATATGTTCCTTGAGGTTTACTTATAATGTTAATAAAGTTTTTTGCACAAAAAAAAAAAAATGTGTAAAAATGATTATTTTCAACCCTCATTCTCTGAAACAGGCTGTTTGTAAGGGTCGGTGGGCAGGGCCTATGTCGATGTCTTGCTCTGGAGGCGGAGTTTATGCAAATGTTTGTGCCCCTGTGATGTCATCTTGCACCTCAGATCCAAAACGAGCCGTTTTTGGAGCTTGATTAAATAAATGCTCTGTTTATAATGAGGAGGAGGTTTTAAGCTATGAAAGGATGTTTTAATGCTACAAAGACCTCTTATATGGCAAAAGATCAAGGCTAATTTGATTTCTCACGTCATGACCCCTTTAAAGGGATAGTTCACTCCAAAATTGCATTGAACGTCCATGTAACGAATACTTTGACACTTCAGAAAGGTCATGATCCATATGAATCAAGTGCTTTAATCCAAGACTTCTCACTTTATATGATGAACAGATTTAAATTATTCACATATAAACCTATATTGAGCACATCACATATACTGTATATACAAGCCTCATTGGTTCTTGTGTGTCAAGCAAGCACATCTGAGCTGCAGTTTGCGCATTGATCAATGTTTATAAATTAATAAAATCCTAAATTAAATCTGTTCATATTATAAAGCAATTGTGTCAGAAAACTCGGGTTAAACCACTTATTTACAACGTCTTTATTAACTTTCTACAAGCATCAAATTTTTGGTTACATAGACTTTCAATGGAGGAAATCTCTCAGGTTTCAGTAAAAAATATCTTGTGGTGTATTTGTGTTATGAAGTCAAATTAAAGAGTTTAGAATGAGTAAATAATGGCAGAATTTTCATTTTGGTGTAAACTGACTCAACTTTAAGTGATTGTGAACAGTTTTATGTTAATCAAACAAAAAAGAATCATTCACTGCTCTTGACTGAATAACTTTTCTAACTCAAATATAAGCATGATTGTGAATCAGTATTGTTAAAATTGTGGTTTCACATCCGCCTTATTTCCAGCAAAATAAAAAATGACATATACCATTATCAAGACCAAAAATGGACATATCGCCCCAGCATGATGTTTCAAAAAGTAAAATAATTGTCTTCGCTCACCTTGTTGTGACTCTCAAAGTAGGACTCCTTCTCCAGGCGATCCATCAGGTACTCAAAGACCTCCTGAGGGATGGGCACCACCCCGTCAGCGCGCCGCTTGTCATTCATGATGTCCAGCCAGATGTAGTCTTCCTCGTCTATATCGTACTCCACCTCCTCATCCAGCTCCTCAGCAGACTTATCGATGTACCTGAGAGGAGGTGAAAGAGACGGAGGAAGGGTGAAGAATTCATATCAAACCTCATCATATCTCACGCCACACACAAATGAGCCATACAGGTCTTCAATGGTCAATAGGGAGACATTTCTGAGAGAATTAGACAACAACATCTCTATAATATGACAATAATCCACAATAACTTGACTATAATCGCTCCAGCAGCCTGCCTCACACGAGATCACAGCAATCTATTCCCAATGGACAACATCAAGTCCCACAGAAAACTGGCGTCTCATTTGAGTAGCAGTTTCATTTGGATATGTCACAATAGAGAAGAAAAGATTATTTCATGCCAGCTTGTCAACCCTAACTGTGTTAACTATCACCTACACTCAGGGCCTAAAACTAACTTTTTGCCACACCTGCCAATGGCCGGTGACATGATCAAATTTACCGGCCAAAAATTTTTTACCGGCCATGAAACTCTTTGCAAAAACAGGCAGTTATTACAACAATAACTAAACATATTTACAACGTTTTTAATTTGTCCTGCTGGTGCATTTTCCCTCAATTTTCCCTATTAATTATAGCCATTCAACATTACAGTATAATTGACATTCACTCTCATTCATGCTTGTCGCTTATGACAGAAACAGCGAATCTCTTTAAAAAACTGGCTGTTGTCTGCATTTGTGATCGCTTCATATGACCCCTTTAATTTGTGTTCCGAATATGAACGAAAGTCTTATGGGTTTGAGTAATTAATGACAGAATTTTCATTTTTGGGTAAACTATCCCTTTAATGTGTCTTTTTGCAGGAAGACTGTACTTTTTGTATCATTTTCATATTTTTATAATTTTTTTTTTTTTTTTACATTGGTACCTTATCTAAAAATATGATTTTAAATGTTCTTCATGTTCTTAATGCTTAATCTGTCACCATGTCTAGATTATTCTTATTTTAAATATGTTGATTTTGTAATTAACAATTCAAATGAAGTCTGTAACAGTATCTGTTCTATCAAGATCATGTCTTATTCATGGGGGGCACACTTTCACATTTTTTTCCATTCTTTGAGAGTTAATGCAAACAATTTTTTTTAGATATACTGTATATTGAATAGTCAAAATTTGGAAAAATATAAATTTTTTAGTTTTGTCCACTTACAGTATATACAGACTGCGGTCTACACTGCAAACAATTGCTGCGATAATACAAATCATTCCAGACCACCTATTACTTTCCAAAAATCAACTTTCCTTTCACTACATGTACAGAATTCTTTTTTTTTATTACATTAAGTTAAAGCTACACAAATGTGCAAAACCTTAAAGAATGAATACATCTTTTGAAGCTGTTTTCATTAATTAGCAGTGCAAAAACATTACTAGAAATAAAAGCAAAAAAAAAAAAGAAAAAAGCCAGCATGAAACCAAAATGAACAACTATTATTTTTTTCATCAAAAACGGCTGTTTTTTCTAATAAATATTTCACTCATGCAAATAATTTAATGAATGTGCCCTCGTAATCTTTAATGAAAAACATTAACTTCCCTTCCTTTCTTCTAGAGTAGAAAAGATGATGGTATCTTCACATTTTGTATTACTGCATTACTAGAGTTTGTTTACATAAAAGATTATAAGAACAAACACATATTCAGAAAGTACAACATCCTACAGGCCACATCAACTTCAAAACCCATCACACATCTTACACCTCCTAGAGTAATTATGATTACACACACACAGATGTGTGTACAGCTGCACGATTAATCGTATGCGACTGTACGTCAAATACAGGAGCGCTGCGCATCCATTGAGATGAACTGAAAAACAGCACAGATCGCTTGATGGAGTGTGAAACTCTGAAGAGCTCAGTCAGAGAGTGTTCGGCGAGTGAAAATATATCTGTGCTAAACTTATACTTAGCCTTAAACTCACACACTGGCGAGTAGGGATATGCCGGTATCAAATTTTCATGTTGCGATTAATTGCTAATGCTTTTATTACGGTATACAGTATTATCACGATATTGAAATTTAGTTGCAAAAAAAGTGTTGTCATAATACAGTATAACAGTGTCATCATGGTATTTGTAGTAAAACTGTGGTTATACTATCAATCCGAATGACTATACGCAATGCACACATACAGAGCATGTGATCTCTGCGACGCCCAGAGGTCCAAAACAGACCCTCACACCTCTGTAATAAACATGTTAGTCCCGTCCGAATTAGTACATGACAAATCGCAGACGTCAGGTGATAAGAATCGAAACTCAAACGTAGTTTAGAAAAGTAGTCCTGTCCGAATAGGGCTTTAGACATCATTTAGTCGCCCAGAGTGAAGATTTAGTCGCATAAGCGAGTGATTTACTCACATTGTAGAGGGTTGTTACACCTCCTGGAGTAACTGGAGCACAAAACCAGTCATAAGGGTCAATTTTTAATTGAGATTTATACATCATCTGAAAGCTGAATAAATAATCTTTCCATTGATGTATGGTTTGTTAGGATAGGACAATATTTGGCTGAGATACAACTATTTGAAAATCTGGAATCTGAGGGTGCAAAAAAATCTAAATATTGAGAAAATCATCTTTAAAGTTGTTAAAATGAAGTTCTTAGCAATGCATATTACTAATCAAAAATTAAGTTTTGATATATTTACGGTAGGAAATTTACAAAATATCTTCATGGAACATGATCTTTACTTAATATTCCCCATTGGCTGCAGAACTGTCCAACCTGTCCTTGCCGATTCCCCCGGCCTCACCGTTACACGCCGCCGAGCCCGTCCCTGTCGACGTGGGGTCCTCCGCGCCGCTGTCCTCCTCTGAAAGCACGTCCAGGTTCTCGAAGATGCTGATGCGGTGGACTCGGCCGCGGATCTCCAGCTCCACCATGCGCTGGGCTTCTGCGTAGGTCATGCTCTCTCTGACGGGCGAGTGTGAGCACTCCGAGCGTTCGGCGGGGCTGCCCGGTGTGGCCCCCGGCCCCGTGACCCCTGACCCTGTGCTGGAGTCGGGGCCGTCACCAGACCCCGGCAGGGCGGCCCGCGGCGGTCGGCCCTTGCGCTTCTTCTGAGGGGTGCCCTGTGCCGGAGGCGGGTTGTCGTGGTCATAGTGGTAGAGATGGTACTCGATGCCGCTGTAGCTCTTGTAGACCTTGCGGCAGCTGTCCACCGGACACTCGTAGGGCGGCTTCGTCGCCCGCAGGTTGTGGCAGAACGTCTTCACGTCAAAGTCCAGCCCCATCCCGACAATGCTCACTGCAGCGTCACCAACGGGACCGGCTTACATCTATGAGGACGACACAAAGGCTTTTACTTGAGCACAGCAATCCACAGATTTAATTGGACAACGAGTGCCGATATTTCGTTTAACAGCACCAGTACGTTTGTTCCACAATCGAGCAGTATTACTGAGTACCAGTACAGCTGTCTATTTCAGGAACACTTTATTTTGATAGTCCACTTTAGACATTCTACTAATGGTAAGTAACTTTAACTACATGCCAACTAGCAGTCATTAGAGTATTAGTAGACTGTCTGCTTGATATCTGCTAACACTTTATTTTGATGGGTCCACAACATACTGACTATGAGAAACTTTGCAAGTAAATATCAACTTATTCTACCAACCCTAAACCTAACCTAACTGTCTACTCTGAGAGTTTGTAGACGTGTAGTTGTGCATTAATGAGCATTAGTTGACATGTAGTTGCAAAGCTACTTAGAGTTAGTAGAATGTCTAAAGTGGACTATCAAAATAAAGTGTAGCCTCTATTGCATCTTTATTTGACCCTCTAACTCTAGCACTCTCTATTCTATTTTATCTATTTGTTTTCTTTTTATTTATTATATGATTAACATACAAAAAAACCATTGTGTACTGAGTTAAGCTAACTGAGACTTGTTCTAGCACTTGCATATCATTGCTCTTCTGTTGATTTTGACTGCTTCTATTGTCCTCATTTGTAAGTCGCTTTGGATAAAAGCATCTGCTGAATGACTAAATGTGATGTAAAAGTAAATGTCTGCGGCCCAATCACAGGCCATATTAATGATGCTGCAATACTTACTGCTAATCAGCTTGAGCAAGAGCTGACTGAACAAGAAAAGATGGCACCTTTCAAACAAGTGCCACTGAGATGAATGGCTTGCTCCTGGATATCACTGTATACAGCCGTTGTTAGGTTCAAACCTCTATCCTTTCCATTTCCAAACCATGTTTTAACCAGTAAGTCACAGCATCAGTTCAAAAGAAGTGGTTTTAACCACAAGTTGGCTATTAAATTGTAAGAAGGACAAACAAAAGCCTTGAAGTGACTGACGTGAAAGTGAATTTCCCTCCATTATGTCACGATGTGTTTGTTCAAATCGACACAAATTAAACTTCATCTGTTTACCACAAAGCGTGCAGTAAACTCAAATATTAGGCTCCATGCAGCTCAATCACACAAGCGTGCTGTGACGGTATAAGATGGGAACATGCACAGTACTGAATGATTACCATACACAACGCATTTAGCTCATATCTGAAACAAAACTCAAAGGATACTGTAGCATTACCATGGTAAACTTCAAAAACATGGTATCTCCATGCTAGTTTTGTTAGTGGCTGATTGTTTGCAACCCCGCTTTTCCTTTACAAATGTGTCAAGCATGAAAACATGATCATGTAAAATATGAGTTTCATGTGATGCTGTGGTTAATAATCCACACAGACAGATCTCTAGCAGGTGAACGTGTTTTGTAGTAAACACTTACTCCTCCAGAGTCCGCGGCGGGCTTCACGCTCACTCCGAGAACAAGAATTCACACTGAGATGAGTTTAATTCAGATCAGAAGGGTTTGAGCTCAGTAACCGGGTCCTTTATGACTTCTGGTCATCACACACTGAGAATAACACCAGGAACTGAAGCGAGCGAACAAAGGGGCTACCGCGCGATCCGCGTCTGCACATTCACCGATCCGCCACACTGGAAAACGCGTTTAAAATATACTTACACAACAATATTTATCTTTCGTGACATGCGGTCTGTCAACGTAGATACTTGATCAAATCCAGTCGGAAGTCTCCATATGTCCTTGATGATTTATTCCTGCTACGCTTTATGTTGGCTGTGCTGACGAATCAGCCGTCGATTGTCACGCGGTTGCCCGCTGCGTCGGTCTATTTAGTATGCACCATATACTGTAGAAAAGCGGTATGCACACGTAGAACAACGAATACTGCTGAACTAGTGCTGTTTTAGCTGCAGTATTTGTCATGTTTATATAGAATAAAGCACCTTGGCCTCAGCGTATGGGCATTAGGGTGGTAAGAATATGAGTGGATTGGGTGTGTTTAGGCTTTGCAGCAGAGCATGGCTGCAGTGATCGGTGGCGACCTGTAGAGGGCGACGCTTCACCTGCATTACTCACTTCAACTAAACACAAACGCAATCTTTACATTTCTTTGAAAAACATAATTTGTCAATTGGTTTATACCTTCAAACAAACCAATTATGTTCCCAACATCCCATAGCGTTTTAGCCATTTGTTTGCATTTATCCTAAAGTGCAAACCTTTCACAATTATTTGAAAAGATGTATCTAATTTATCTAATGTATATATTTTTTTCTTTTTAATTAAATAGAATATTTTCTGTTAATGTGTGTTAAACAGGTGTGCATTACAAATTCACAAATGTAGCCTAATTTTTCTACACTTCTTCACTCCCCTACAGTCGGCGGCAAGTGGTAAATTAGCTAGGGAATATTATTTAACAGTGTAAACAGCTTTTTTTATTTATTTATTTTTACTGTTGAACTTGGGGCATGCTTGCATATACAATATGTGACCCTGGACTCCAAAACCAGTCATAAGGCTCCATTTTTTTTTTTTTTGGGATTTAATTAAATTACATTAAATTAATAAAATAACATAATCTGAAAGCTGAATAAATAAGCTCTCAATTGATGTATGGTTTGTTAGGATAGGACAATATTTGGTGAGATACAACTATTTGAAAATCTGGAATCTGAGGGTGCAAAAAAATCTAAATATTGAGCTGTAAAAGACATGTACCATTACATTTACAGCCTTTAATTTTTGAATAAATATGTCATAAATTATGTCATTAGGTCTGCAGAATTTGAAATCTCATTGGATATTTGATTTTCTCCTCAGAAATAATTAGGTATCTGCGCTAACCGGATTTGCCCTCAACGGCTCTGCCCCCAGTATGTCTGTTTAACGCAACAGGTGAGGAGGGCAACTCTGGAAATATTAACATGTAGTCAAAAATACTGACAAAATATTAAAGGACATCAAAACCAGTTTACGACTGTATGAGTCACTAGAAGTACATATATAGTACATTTACATTTACATTTAGTCATTTAGCAAACGCTTTTATCCAAAATGACTTACAAATGAGGACAATAGAAGCAATCAAAACTAACAAAAGAGCAGGCATAAAACGCCAAAAAGAAAAAGAAAAAACAATAACAAAAGACCAATAATATGCAAGTGCTATAACAAGTCTCACTTAGCCTAAAGCAGTACATGCATAGAAAAAGAACAGAGCAAGCTAGTGTTAGAGGCCTTTTTTGCTTTTGTTAATTGTATAATAAATAAAAAGAAAACAAATAGATAGAACACAAAAAGATTAGAGAAGCAAGTGTTTTTTTTGTTTGTTTTTTTGTTTTTTTAAGAAAACAAGCAGTTAGTAAATACAGTGCAAGTCTAAATGGGGCAAGTTTTAAAAAAATAAAGAATAGAATTAGAATAGAGAGTGCTAGAGTTAGAGGGTCAAATAAAGATGGAAGAGATGTGTTTTTAGCCGATTCTTGAAGATGGTTAAGGACTCAGCTGCTGGGATTGAGTTGGGCAGGTCATTCCACCAGGAGGGAACAGTTCATGTAAAAAGATTTGGAATCCGCTCTTGCCAGTCTTAGGGCTTCAACAACTGATAGCAAGGCAGTCTCAGTTGAATGTTCACTTCTGAAGCCAGACTTGTTGCTGTCCAGGAGGTTGTTCTGTGTGAGAAAGGCAGAGACTTGGTTGAACACAGCTCGTTCAAGTGATTTTGCAATGAAAGGAAGAAGGGAAACCGGTCTGTAGTTCTCTAAAAGAGATGGGTTAAGAGTGGGTACTACAAAATGGATTTTAAAAGGGTGGGTAATAGTGACTGAATGTGCTTCAAGGAGCTGCTAGTATTCTAGTAGAGTAATGTTACTCCCATATGGGACTCATTGTTCATTTATAAATTTGTTTCCTGGTAGAATGACCTGCCCAACTCAATCCGAGCAGCTGAGTCCTTAGCCATCTTCAAGAATCAGCTAAAAACACATCTCTTCCATCTTTATTTGACCCTCTAACTCTAGCACTCTCTACTCTAATTATATTCTTTAAAAAAAAAAAAAAAAAACCCTACCTTTCTAATTTTTTTTGAAATTTTTCATTGTTCATTTATAAATTTGTTTCCTGGTAGAATGACCTGCCCAACTCAATCCGAGCAGCTGAGTCCTTAGCCATCTTCAAGAATAGGCAAAAAACACATCTCTTTCATATTTATTTGACCCTCTAACTCTAGCACTTTCTATTCTAATTATATTCTTTAAAAAAACACTAACACTAGCTTTTCTAATCTTTTTGTATTCTATCTATTTGTTTTCTTTTTATTTATTATACAATTAACAAAAACAAAAAAGTCCTCTAACACTAGCTTGCTCTATTCTTTTTCTATTCTATCTGACTTCTTTAACTTATTATATATTTAAAAAAACACTTTCTATATGTACTGCATTACGCTAACTGAGACTTGCCATAGCACTTGCATATTACTGCTCTTTTGTTGATTTTGATTGCTTCCATTGTCCTCATTTGTAAGTCGATTTGGATAAAAGCGTCTGCTAAATAAGTGTTACCCAACCTTTTTTTAGTCGCGGCACCCTTTGGAAATTTTAACAAATTTGTGGCACTTTAGAAAAATTAATTTTGTCACAATACTTGAATTTCTAACTTCGATATGATGCTTTGAAAAGTATCGAAATTTGGTACAGCAGGGAAGAACTGCAGAATGTGTCATATATATATATATAAAAAGTATAGATATTCGGTACAGCAGAGAAGAACTGCAGAATATACTGTCATACAGATATTTTTAATATTATTATTATTTTTTGTCCATCAATGGTGGCAATCAGTAGGCTAATTTCTAATGAAGAGACCAATTAAACACAAATAAAAAATAACGATAGGCCTACTAATGAGTTTTTCAGGTAGGTTTTTTTTTTTTAAGAGATTTTTTTTTTTACCAATTATCCAAATAATGTTTAGTCCTAGAAAGCTATTATTATCCGAACATGTGAGCATAACATAGCAGAGCGTCACACCACGTGAAAGTGAAACCTGAGCGGTGAACTAATTTCCGGCAGCTGGAATTTCGGTGCATCTCTAATTATTGGCGACTATCAGAAAATTATCAGAAATGGATATTATATAATAGATGCTTTTTTGAACATTAGCAATTTAAAAATATTAAAAAATGATTTTTTTCACGGCACCCCTGCTCTCCACAGACGGCACCCCGGTTGGGAAACACTGTGCTAAATGACTAAATGGAAATGGAAATGTTTTCATAAAATATTTCTTGTGATAAGCGATGTTGGTATGTGAACAGAAATAAAGGTGCGTTCACGCCATATCGTATTTACCGTAATAGCGAGATACCAACTTGAAAAAAGCGTTCACGCCCTCATAGAACTCGTGAACTAGTTCCCTCTCAAGCTTCACTCGACATCGCGGAGCTTTCTCCAGTTATGGGAAATCCTTCCCTTCCAACCTCTCCTGAAGTTCTATTGGCTCACGCCAGTCCAACTGACTGGCCAATTGTCGCGAAGTATGCATCTTATGCAAATATTGACGAGCTCGAGAGGCAGTATAAAATGCGATGCACGTGCCAATTGCATCAGAATCTTCTCCTTCACTTGCTTGTTTTACTTCTGAACAACCTGAAGAATGGCTTTATATTGTAAGATATAAGAACCTGCGTGGGACCCATTGAACCTCCAGATCAGCATGAGCACGTCATTGCCTGCCTGGGTTTTGACCATGCTGAGGCGGAGTTAGAGGAGTCCGACTGCGGGCATTGCATGCTTCAGACTCACCGCAACATGGCTTGTTTGGGGTGAGGCCATCATTAGCAGTCACCCCATTCTCCAGTCACCTTCCCCGAGGACTGTTTCCACCCTCCTCCAAACATCGCGAACTTCGTGTCGTTCGGCCGGGAGGAAGAAGACGAGGACTCGATGTCCATCTCGGCCTCGGAGAAAGAGGATTGTGCGGGATCGGAGTGTGATTGTCCAGACAGCGAGGGGCCCCCAGACCTCCAGGAGGAGCTTGTGAGGGTCAGGACCAAAGCTGTCCAGGAACTCGAGCTTACTTGGAGCCCTCCGGAGGAGACTGCCAAGAGTAAGCTTGACTCCTGGTATTTTAGATCGACACACCGGCAAGCTGATTCGAGGGCGTCGGTCTAGTTCTTCCCTGACTTCCGTCAGCAGCTTGTGACGGCGTGGTCTGCACCCCAATCGGCATGTGTCCACTCTAACATGCAGGCCATTTTCAAGCACGTGGATGGGGCAGAGGGCCCTGGGCTTTTCCACAGTTTGATATGATTCTTTAGGGTCTTAATGAGAAATCTATAACATACTTTGGTTAAAATATCTCAATGGTAGTGTAAAACAACACCTTTTTTACCCTGTCAAAAACAGCTCTGTTTACAGCAAGCCGTTTTGTTGCATGTTGCTTCAAATGCAAATGAGCTCTGCTCTCCCTGCCTCTCTCTTTCAAGTCGCTCTCTGAGAGACTGTAAACTTTAGCCGCATTCATCGTGAAACTTGCTAACTAGCACATTATTAGGAAAGGCGATTTGCAAAGATTCATAAAAAAAATCTTATACTCACTTTTTCTGTAGGTGAAGCTGGATCACGAATGATTCGCGTGAACATAGATGCATTTAGGTAAATCGGGGGCGCATTCCCTCAAAAACAAACGTAATTGTCACAAATCCTGTCCGTGGTCTTCCATTTGCTCACCACCA